GCACCGGACGCTCCGCCACGTCTGGCTGCCTATATGGACTCTCTGGAGTGGTTTTAGCAAGCCGACCCGAATTCGGGGCCTCTCAGTGCTTCTACCCGTTTGAGGTGAGAACACAGGAGGATACCGGCTCCACACGAAGGCTATAGAATCTAGCGGACGTGTTAGGGGTCGCCCAGCCCGCAGCTCTACAGATATCTGCCAGCGAGGCGCCACGAGCCAGCGACCTTAAGGCTCGGACGGGACAGAGCAAAGCTAGGGCTGGGTCCGCCTCCTCCGAGGGCAGCGCTTGCAGGCTCACGACCTGATCCCTGAAGGGAGTAGCGGGAACCTTGGGCACATAGCCGGGCCGGGGCCTCAGGGGTACCTGGGAGTCAGCCGGCCCGAACTCTAGGCACGAATCGTTGACCGAAAATGCGTGCAGGTCGCGCCGGGCGAACTGAATCGCATAGCTGAGCCTGATGGTTCGACGGAGCCATCGAGACGGGCTGGGTAGCTCTAGCCAGGCTCCCCGACACCGCGCAAGTGGCATCAACGGAACTACAGGCGTACCCGCAGTGGGGCCGCTCGGAAGAATGTCTCGTAGCCGGCCCGAGGCGGTGTCTTGGTGTGTGTAACACTGACCTGCGTTCGAGCAGAGGGTGCGTGGGTAGTCCGTTGGTTCGTCCTCCAGATCCGCCCACTGCTGCTCACTGGCGAGAGAGGAAGGTGAGTGTGATACGCACTGGATCGTCCACAACCCCCCGTCCCCTCTGGGGACCCAGAAATAGAGGAATTGCTCTTTGTCGAGTATTTGGGTACCACCGACCGAGAGGTCAGTGGCGGAAAAAGATGAAAAGATTCTCCGCCCGGCCCTCCTCCGGAGGAGGGAGTGGTGTGCTTACAGTCTCCTGAAGAGCAGGTTCCTCCACCTCTGGGTTGCCCGTCTCAGGGCCTCTTGCTCTTTCGCTTGCAATAATCACATGCCAATGTGCATTGGCTCGTTTAGTTTACACTCGAAGTAGATTGGTCTCTCTAAGCGAGATCCCAATTCGACGTGACGTCGAGAGTGACCGACTGAAAGGGAACTAACTAACTGTGACCAGGAAGGGGCATGTTCAGTTGGCCACAACAAATGTTATAATATGTAACAAGATCATTTTATGAAGGTAACGACATCCTTATGCCGTGACCATGCGACCCTATGTTTAGGGAACAACATTTTCTCGTGGCCAAGATTTTAATGCGTAAGCAAACTTTATGATTATCCAAGGTTGCTATGGTTATGCATTAAATTCGTGGCCATGACATAAGAATGTCATCAAAATGATCTCGGTTCGCCAACAACAAATTATCCCGTTTCCGTGAGTTAATTTTTATCTTGTGGCCACAACAAATCTAACTGAACTGAACATGTCAACAAAATATGCATGCAACAAATCTAGCTCCATATTATAGTGTTTCTCAACGGGGGCATTCAGAGAGCATGGTGAGGCACTAGAAGCAATTTTTAAATGTGGAATTTACCCACCAAAATTACCATTAATTATCTTTTTTGATTAATTTAATGGATCCTTGAATTAAAGTAACAATTTCTTAAAAATCGTAATGACATTTCAATGGTATTGTACATATAATAACAGTCCTCATTATAAACACAAAATAATAATCAACTTTAATATTCAGTGAAGACAATTACAGACTTCATTTTATTTGATGGGGGTGGTTAGGGACCTTGATAATGGGGTAGGGAGGCCCAAAAAAGATTGAGAACCACTGCCATAGGGGTAAAACCTTTTAATTAGAAAAAAATGACTGAATGCACCTGTAGGAGAAGTATAATTTGATTTGAACACTGTGAAATGACAAAACTGCTCTGTCTCTTACACAGGTGAATGTCTTTGGGTTTGGGGCTTCAAGTACTGGAACCTGGCATCATTACTTTGACAAAACTCGCACTCACTATAAAGGCGGCCCTCATGGTGGAGACTTTGAAAACAAAACAATGCATCAGCTTCAGCAGAGAAACAAGATTTCAATATATAAAGGGTATAGATAAAAATGACCAGAAACATACATGGTCTGTTCAATGGGTTTTTTTTGTTTTTTGTGGTCAAAACATATTAACTTGTGGAAATAGATATGTTGTGGCCACGTGATCCTATGTTGAGGGAACGACACTATTTTCTTGTGGCCAAGAGTTTAATGCATTAACAAACCTTATGACTACCCCAGTTTTGCTATGTTCATGCAGGTTTGTTTACGCATTAAACAGAGAAACAAGATTTCAATATATAAAGGGATAAAAAAGGCAGTTCTTCCATTTAATGAAAAATTTCAAAACTAACACTGCTATTATTGTTTTAAGATATGTAGCAAATTCTCTATAATGCCCTACTCTTATTTATAATGCCTTACTGTATCACTGTAAACATATTCAATGTACCTGTTGTTCTTATACTAAAGTTCTAATATATAAAACATCTGGAATGTTTGTATGGAATCGGATCATAATCTTTCAAATGCTATTTTGGCTAACCCTTAAATGTATACCTCGGGTCTTTAGCGACCCGGGACACATTGTGAACATTGTGAACTTCACATTGTGAAGTGAAGTGACATGTGGCCAAGTATGGAGACCCTTACTAGGAATTAGTGCTCTGCATTTATCCCATCCAAAGTGCACACACACAGCAGTGAACACACACACACCGTGAACACACACCCAGAGCAGTGGGCAGCCATTTTTTGCTGCGGCGCCCGGGGAGCAGTTGGGGGTTCGGTGCCTTGCTCAAGGGCACCTCAGTCGTGGTACTGAAGGTGGAAGAGAGCGCTGTACACCCACCTACAATCCCTGCCGGTATGAGACTCGAACCCGGAACCTTTGGTTACGAGTCCGACTCTCTAACCATTAGGCCACGACTTCCCCACTATTTTACTTTCGTATCCGCTTGTTAAGTCTGACATCACGCGTCACTGCTTCCGGGTCCAAACGCTCTATCAGATGCCACGAGAAAACAACAAACGGTGCTAATATACACTCACAATATGATATAATACTAGCAAAAAAATTTTTTCTTTAACTCCATACCGAAATCCCAGATAGCCAGACAATGAAAATATAAATAAATAAATATAAAAATTATTTGTGTTTGGGACGCTGAGAGCACGGAAACTGTAGTGTACAATACTAAGTTTAAAAACGTTTAGCTTAAATGTTTAATATGGATGAACAGTGTTGAGATAGTATTCAAGTATTCAGATTCAGTATTCAGATAGTATTCAGATTCAAAATCAAGATGGCGGCTTGTTTGTAGACGTGTGTGCTGGTCTGTCCTTAACTGTTTGATTTAAGTGTTTAATCTAAGTGTTTTTATTGCATATATCAAGTGTTTTACGCAGTTTTTGTTGGTGCATTCGGTCAGATAGCGCTTTTAAAGAGAAGAAGAAAATGCGTATATTTATTTATTTGAATAAATAAAACTTGTGTTGCTACACGACCCTGTGGATACTTGGGACTGGCGTGCCTTTTTGTGGCTTGGATTATACTGCCGATAGCAGCGAGAGCGATCATGAGATAACTGCGCTTTACCATCAGCCACAGTGACCAGATCTGTATGCTGGGACTGTACCGGGATTTCTCAGGAATCATGGCCCGACGCTCCGGCTATTCTGGAGAGATATGTCTCGTGGATTGCTGTTCTCTTCTGGAGAAATTTCACGTGGACTGTGCTGCTTATGGACTCAGGGGAAAGCGAGATTATCAGCCCGTGCGATGCCTATTTGCGGCGGGGATACAATTGAGGGCCCAAAGAGGAGATCATGGTTAGTTTTCATTTTGCTTTTTATCGGGTAATGTTCACCCTAACCTGGGTCCAGCATTAGCCCAACTTCAAACCCCTGATGAACTTAAATCTTCAAATGGATTACGGTTCTTTCATCTAAATGTGTGTAGCCTGATAAATAAAATGGATTCCTTAAGAATTTGGGCAGATACGACTGATGCAGACATAATAGTCTTCATTGAGACATGGTTAAAAGTAGTGCTGGGCGGTATACCGGTTCATACCGAATACCGGTGTTTATTTTTATGATATGACTTTTTAAAATACCGCAATACCGGTGTATGTCGCTTAAACAACGTTCGGAACGCAACACTGTTTGAAAGGGGTCCCTTTTCACTGTTGCACTGTGGTGAGGACACAGCTGTATGTGTTACTAAGCGTGAAAGTTCCGAAACTGAAGCTGTAGAACTAATAGAACGTGATGACACAGAAGAACTCGTCCACAATATCCACATTGACCGCCACAAATATCCACCGCCCCCGGCCATCAGCTCCTGCGTCTCACACACACACGAGTGCGACTTTAGCACTAGATTTAGCAACTTTCAGACCCTTTTAGCGGCTTTTTTCCATAGAATATTCATACGGACAAACCTAGCGACTTTTTTTGGATAAACCTTAGCTATGGTTCAGTTGGAAGATTTCGCCAGTGCTGTCCCGAGAACGCGAGGTCTGACTTTCCCGGAGAAGTGTCACCTCTCTCGGCGTCTGTTCTGTGCAGTGAGCGGCAGAGAAGCAGCGCATTCAGTTGGCCGCACCTCAGCCGTCTCGTCAATAAATTAGTACAAAACAGCGTTTCCTAGCACCTGTCGCTTACTGATTGTTTGGAATTATAAATATGAACGGAGTTCGTCTGTTAATATCACATGCACTTTTTTTTAGTTTGTGCTCAGTTTGTGCTTTAGTTTGTGCGCAGGCAGAGCGCTGCGTGAGTTAAAAGCATCTGTCACAAATGATGTGATTAACATTAATGCTTATAATGTCTTCAGATCTGATCGTGCAACAAAAGGAGGGGGAGTTGCAATATATGTTAAGTCTAATCTGAATTGTGCCTGCATACAGTCATTTAGCAAAGTAAATGGCTTGGAATTGCTCGTGCTTAGACTACATTGTGGCTGGTTGTTATCGCCCGCCTTCATCTTCTTCAAGTGAAGTATGCACTTTACTTGCAGAATTTCTTCATGATTGGACTAAATATGAATTGATTTTACTTGGCGATTTGAATTGGGACTGGTTTTCGTCATTCTCCGACTCATTTAAGGAGGCTTGTGACTCTCTCCGTTTGGTACAGCTGATCAATTCAACAACTCGGATAAATCAAAAGGATTTGAGCAAATCAACTTTATTGGACTTCATTTTAACTAACGCTCCTCACAGGTATTCTGCATCTGGAGTTTTTTGTAATGATATTAGTGATCACTGTGCAGTTGTCTGCGTGAGAAATTGTTAAACTAGATCTTCAACGCGGTTTATTTCTAAAAGTTTTTAAAGCATTTTAATGAACAAGCTTTTTTACGTGATATTTATCTTAAGTGATTTGGGTGTTGTTTCATGTATACCAGATGTTAATTTGGCCTGGGACTATTTCAGATCAACATTTTTATCCATATGTGATAAACATACTCCAGTTAAACGATTTAGAATAAGTGGTAAAGATAATCCTTGGTTCAATGACACCGTTTCTACTTTTATAAAACAGGAATGCTGCATGGGCCAAGGCAAAGAAATCAAATAATTCTACTGATTGGATTTCTTATAAAGCATTACGAAATAAGTGCACAAAATTAATTAAGTGCAAAGTGTGATTATTATTTGTCTATGATAAATGAAAATTTATCATAAAAAGATTAGCTTTTGATAAACATATTAAGTTGTTGAAAAAGCTTAGACCAAAACTAGGCTTCTTTTATCTTTTAAGGCCCGCAAGAAAGTAGTACATTTTTATCAATAATTGATCATGGTGATCATTTATATATGCATGCAGCTACTTCTTTACTTAGAAAATTAGATTCTGTTTATCATGCAGCATTACGTTTTGTCACTGGTGCAGTCACGGACGCATCATTGCATTTTGTATGAATCTTTAGATTGGTTATCTTTACATCAAAGGAGATAGTTACATATGTACTTATTTATCGTAAAGGCTCTATTAGGTAAATTACCATCTTATATTTCTAATTTGTTAACGATCCATATAAATAGTCGCTGTACTAGATCAGGTTCTTGCATTCAGTTAATAGTTCCAAGGGTATTGTCAAAATTTGGTAAATGTGCTTTCTCCGTTTATGCTCCTTGGGCCTGGAATGAATTGCAAAATGTAATTAATCTTGACACACTTCCAACATTGAGTACTTTTACATGTCTTTTGTATAATGTTTTAAAGGATACTTGTAGTTGTTTTTCATGATCTGATTTTATTTATGAATTGTGATTGTGTTACTGTCTCTGTGATTCTTTTTATATGAAACTTTATGTGCTGCCATCTTGACCAGGTCTCACTGGAAGAAGAGATAGCAATATCTCAATGTGATTTCCTGGTTAAATAAAGGAATAATAATAATAATAAATAATATTCTCAAGTGAAATGAGTTGAGGCTTGGACCCGGAAACAGCATTCGCTCGACTCATTACGTCACCACTTAACAAGCGGATTGTGACGTACTTTAAATGAGAAAAACCGAGGGCGTGGATTGTTTTTTTTTTTTTCTACTGCGAACTGATTGGATGTAGTAAAGTATGTGTTTCATTCTGAAATTGAGGCAGATTTGAACGCAAGTTTGCAGTCAATTGTCGAGGACAACTCACCACCTGACACACCACCAGCAGTCTCATTCCAGCGAGAAGAATTTTGTTTAGAGCAGTTGGAGGAGGAAGATGAGGAGCAGGAGGAAATGCAAAAAAATCGCGCCATCGTGACCGAAACCAAGGTATTTTGGGGATTGGGAAAAGGGTTTCGGGAGAACCACAACCTAAAACACACCTCCTCGCCATTTCTGCTACGCCCCAGCAAGCAATTTTGCATTTAAAAGACGTCTATTAGACATCTAAATATAGCCTCTAGAGATGTCTAGGCTAAATTTGGGCTGTCAGTTAAAATCTAATAGACGTCTAATCACAGCCCATTTATAGACTAGTCATCAATTAGACCGCTATTAAACGACTACATATATACGTCTAGTAGACAACAAAATGGCAATCCATACATACAGCTTTTATTAAGAAAAAATAACATTTTTTAACAACTTGGACAAATTAAGACAATACAAAAATGATAAAAATACAAAAGAATTAATGACAAAATAAAATGTTATAAATACTAAAAAAAAATCTAATACAAATCAAGAGCATGTTATCACAAAAACATAAAAACAAGATGAACCCTTTTGTTGGTTTACTTTTAACAAATAAAACAACCAACAGTGAACTTAAAGGAAATTATTAATTATTGGTTTTATTTCTTGTTTAAAATGCCTCCCAACTGCATTCCTCAAGTCCAACTCTGTTGCTGCCAGGAAGTTGGTCATCACAGCATCTGCCAAATAAGAAAGAAAAAAAGCACAAGAAAAGCTTGACATAATTTTTTACTTTAATTACACTAATTGTGACAGG